TAATGGAAAAATCGCAGGAAGCACTGATAGACATACCAAAAACCGAGTATAAAAAATGTTTCGAGGATTGGATCAAGCGCTGGCATAAGTGTGTTGCAGTCGATGGGGATTACTTTGAAGGGGACAATATAGATTTAGATGAATAAACTTGTATTTTTAATTTTCTGAATAAATTCCGGGAACTTTTTGATCAAGGTGGTATTTTATAATAAATATATATGTATATATAAAGCAATAATTTGGTTTTTTAACAGTAGCATAACGTCAAATTTGGTGTACTCTACTTTTTTTCAATTTAGTCATTAAAGTTATTTAATGTATAAAAATATGATTGAAAAAAAGACGGAGTTAAAGTTGAAAATACTGTCTATCACACTGTTTCATAAAAGTTGAGATTATATGTTAGTACAAAAAATGGTGATGATAATAAATAAAGTTGTACAAAAGGCAAACGGGAAACCACTGTACTTAATAATTCCCCATCATGCGCGAGTCTTATTTTCAAAAATTAACCTAATGATTAAAAATAAAAAAATTATCGTTAATGAGTATTTACGCACCGACAGTATACAGGATGATTATTATATTATAAATGAGCTATATATATGTATCACTCTTTATATATAATCTTTGAACGTTTTAATATCAATTGTTTTAGACGGATACTATGGACGTGTGTTCAAATGCTGCAATACTGGCACAACAACTTACTCTTATCGAACTAGAGAGGTTATCTTATATAGGGCCTGAAGAATTCGTCCAAGCATTTGCCAAAGACAGTCCACATGTAGATTCTTCTTTCAAAGATATGAAAAAAACCAAAAATCTCGAATCCTATATTCATTGGTTCAACAGGCTAAGCTATTTGGTAGCATCTGAAGTGTGCAAGGTATTTATCAACTATTATCTATAAATTTACATTTACAAAAATACAAAAACGTTTCCTGTTTTATTGAATTTTAGCATTCAAAAAAAAAACAACGAGTAAAAGCCATCGAGTTTTGGATCGAAACTGCTAGAGAGTGTTTTAATATTGGTAATTTTAACTCTCTAATGGCTATTATAGCTGGACTTAATATGTCACCCATCAGCCGCCTTAAAAAAACAGTAAGTATTCTATTTTACTTAGAAATGATAATCCAGATTAATGTTAATGACATTAACGTTTGTTTTTACTTAAGTGGCACAAAGTTCAACAATCAGCCAAATTCACTATTCTGGAGCAATATATGGACCCATCTTCGAATTTCAGTAGCTACAGATCCACATTAAAAGCAGCTTTGTGGAGGAGTGCTGGTGCTACGGATCAACGGCAAAGGGTTGTCATACCATTTTTCTCATTGCTTGTTAAAGACATATATTTCCTTAATGAAGGATGTCGGAACAGGTAAAAACTTTAATTGTGTACATATTGAATGTCAAATATTTGTGCGATTCGAAGAAAAATCTATGTAATCCAGTTTGACTGATGTTTAGTCAGTAAAAATAAAAAAAATTAATGCAATCATCTTTTTATTAATCTCTAATTTGGTTATTATTTAGTTTAAATGTAGAAATCATAGTATTTTTTCCTTTTATATTGAAAAAAACATTGTTGTCTAGTAAAAACAAATACACTTTTTATATGTTATCGTATTTGTCATGCCTTTTTAACTAACCAACAAAATGTTCATAATATAGATTAGACAACGGTCACATTAATTTTGAAAAGTTCTGGCAGCTAGCTAAACAGGTGACAGAGTTCATTTCGTGGAAGCAGGTGGCCTGTCCGTACGAGAAAAATACCAAACTTGTGTTGTTCTTGTTCACCACGCCTGTGCTTAACGAAAAAGGTTAATTGTGTTTATAACTTTTTCATAGCATCTTTTATTGCCCCGGCACTTAAGTTTCACCATACGTTCATTACGTATGATGTTCTGTTACTATACTCACCCGCATTTTGTTTTTACTTGCAGCACTTACGTTATTATCATTTGAACGCGAACCGCCGGACAACAGCGTAGAAAAAGAACACTACAAAACTTTAAAGTATGTACTTCAGAAATAATTTTATTATCTGAATAAAATCAGAATGCGATTTAATGAAGCTACTTTAAGTCTTTAATTGTTAAGAAAATTATTAAAACATAATTTGTAAGATTATAAAAAATAAGCTTGTATCCAAATGATACAATCTTTGTGTACATTTTTTAAGTATAAAATGTGTTCTATAATAAAATATAAAAGGATCAACTTTTATATAAAATATTAATCATAAAAAATTATTAGTATCATCCTTCAAGATACAAAATAAAATTATTTTTCAACGTGTAATTAGCTTATACATTACATTTTTATGATACTTAATCTTTTTTGGATATAACTCATGGTAATTTAAGTAACAATCGCATAACATCAGTTCTCATAATCTTATGGGAAATTAAACATTTTTTTTTTATATGAAAACTTTCTAGCCTGGAAATATTTAATATAATATTCCCAACCCGAATTGTTAAATTTATTTTTTCGTTGTTGAATAACCATACACTTTTGATTTCATTGTATTAAACTATGTTTTTCATAAAAAAATGATATATTACAGTATATCAGAAACTGTTATTGAATAATGTTACCAATAAAATTAAGACCATATTTAATTTTTTATGGTATTAAAAGTGAATTATTATCTGACAAGATATTCTGTATTAACATTATGTAATAGAATAACATATAATATAAGTTATTATTAAATAAAATACAAAACGAAAAATATAATTTTAACTAATATTTTATTTTCAGGACTGCATTGTAATATGCTGTATTTCAAATTTGGATACACAACACCGTGACTTTTTTCTTCTGATTTCTTCTAAGTCTGTTTTAAGATTTTTCAAAGCACGTAAAGGTGTAAATGTTTTTTTTTTCATTAGTTTATAAGTTTAATTATCATTGCACTCAATGCTTCCATGTTAGTATTGCGTTAATCGTAAATACAAAATGATATATATATATATATATAATTATAAATAAAGTAAATATTAAGAATATCACTTAATTTAATTTATAATTTAATAAGATGTATTTTTGTATGTACTTATACTTTATATTCATTGAACTTATGTTCATAGTTTCCATTTAAACATATTGTTTTATTTTTCAGTATTATTTTTTCAATCAGACTAACAAGTTCCTCTTAATATTTTATTATTTTGTATAATTTATTTTTTGTACAGTACAAACATTGAAATCCTTTGTAAAAAAAATTGAATATTGTGAATAATAAATATTAAACAATTTTTAAAATGATCTTATTTATATTAGTTTAAAGTTATTATTTATAATATTTTTCTTTATATTAATAGACTTTAATAGTAAAATGATATTAATTTTTAAAAATATTATTCTGTAAATAATAAATCAATTAGATTACTTCATGATAAACAAAGCAGCTCAGTTATATATACATATACAGAATGAAATATTTATGTATTTAATCATTTAAAAACCTAGCACAGTGGGGATGTGATATAGTTGGGTCAACTATAATGATATCTAACAGTGATTAAAATCACTATCATAAAAAACACTTCGATGCAAATCTGTAGATAGTGTTTAATTATATCAAGTTATGGTAGTTTATGGTTTATGGTTTATAAGTCTAATATATGAATAAATATATTTATAATATATACATATTTAAAGGGAAATGGTTTTATTAAAAAAGAAAGTATGCCGAATGAAAGAGGTATATAAATAGTACTTATCATAAAAAAATTGTATTAATACAATCCATACATTTTTCATAAAGTTATATAAATATAAAGTTAAATATGTAAAATAGAAAATCAAGAATTTTCATACAAAAATAGTATTCGGTAGCAATTTCACCGTGAAGACAAAATAAAGTCCGAAATTATTTTTTTCCATAATAAAGAATATTACATTAGCTTTAATTTAAAATATATCTGTGGCTTGGTGCAAGAAGGGCCAATGTCAAATTTTAACAATGTTCAGGAATTAAAATATTAAATTAGCCAATTTTTAAAATTTACATAAAAATTTTTAATTTTATGTAGGAACTCTAAAAATGCTATTACTTAATTAAATTTTATTTTATTTCACTGTATGGGTCTCATTTTGTTTTTAACTACAAATGTAAAAGTTTTATAACGACATTGGCCACTCAAAAAAAAAAAATTATTTGCTTTTTTTTGACATTGGCCATAAGTTTGATTGCAAAAAATATATATTTTGTTCATAAAATAACTTTATTTTATTTTTAATTCACAATTTTGTCTTTTAGTTTCAATTAAAATAAAAAATCAGTTCATAACATTATTATTTACTATAAAAATTAAAAATATTTCACTTTTGTATGTTTTACAGAATATTTTAAACTTAAAACAACCAATTTAAATAGCACTATATTTTGTATAAACTTAATAAAGAATAATTAATAAAGTACACTTATAAATAAAATTTAGAAATTTCAAATGTTATCACATAGTTTAATTTAACATAATAAGTCTTTATTTTCCTCTGAGATTTCTAACAAATCAGTAACAAATTAGTTTAACAATTTAAAGTATAACAACCTAATAAAATACACTTACAAATAAATACACTTACAAAATATTTTAACAGTTTAAAGTATATTAATTTCAGTCCCAGATGAAAGATAGTATGATCTTGTAAAATTTCTTCTACTCATCATTTCTGAGCCTTTCCAATTTTTTATTTGTTTCAATAACCGATGAAGCTATGAACTGCATTTGACTATCTTTTGGAAGGTTATAGAAATTTTTAAAAATGTTTTCTCTTTGCTCATGAGTAAATTTTTCTGAGCATTTTAGTCTACAAGAACATGGTGGTTGTAAAGTATTTTTAGCAACTAATTGTCCCTTTGTATTAACATATTCTTCACCTTTTGTTTTTTTTGATTTTTCAATATTTCTTCCCCATGTTTTTGGATTACTTAAACGTTTTCTAGTTTTAGGACCCTCTTGTTTTTGACGTCCCCTTTTCTTTTGTGATATATTAGTACTAGCAGAACAACTCTGTATTACAGAATAATTTGTTTCAATATTGACAGTACATTTTTCAGAATAAGCATCACTTTGTATTTCTGTGTTAATATTATCAATTTCGTTAATTTCAACACTAATTGAGTCGTCAGAATCCGAGTTAAATGAATAACTATCGATTTTATTTTTACATAGGACATACTCATCTGATGAATAATCATTGATATCAGTGATTGAATCTGAGTCAGTACTATAACATTCTTCTCCGTTTTTACTTGAATTTGCAGACGTGGAACCTGGTAAATTTATTACGTTATCATTACATAAAAAAAATTAACTTATACTTATCAATAGTTATAGAATAAACTTACTAGTTTGACACATTTGCATTAACCGTCTAGTTCTTGAATTCATAGTTTTGATTTGCATTTGATCACATTTTCATTTATAATTATTAGCTTATTACGTAGAAACACAGTAAATGGTAACACTTAGATTTTAGTAGTGACCAGAAAGTATGAAAAATCAAAAATATAATAATTTATTATCAATATAATCAAATAACGTTATCTGTCAGTAAACAATGTGAAAAAGGCCGAAGTCAGTTTGTACCACAATACCATTAGTCCTAACTACACATTGGCCATTTTTTCAATTAATAATTTTATTGATATCTAGCCAATGTAATGATAAGCCCTTTTTTCAAAATAATAGTTATGTTTAATGACGAAAATTAAAATGGCCAATCTTGAATGTAAGTTGGTCACACTCCTTCTAATACATTAGCCGTTTTATCAGAATATAAAAAAAGAAAAAACGAAAAGATTGGCCCGATAATCTCAATTTCGTCAAAATATGACATTGGCCCTTCTTGCACCAAGCCACAGATATATATAGAAGTGTCAGATTTTCTGGAACACTTTCAAAAGTTAATTTGAAAAGGTTAATTTTTTTTGAAAAAGTTGTCATTTTGAATCCCCTCCTGTAAGCAGGTTAAGTGTTCTAATTTCAAAAAAATGATATCAAATGAAATCAAAATATCTAAGTTTTCAATATAAAAAAAATTAAGTTGATTTGTTAATTTTTGAAAAAATTATGGTAGTTTAAGAAAAAAGAAGTGAAAAAAATTAGGAAATTTACCAATTTCAAAAATTGTAAGTTTTTTGAAAATTTTCTCCATTTTGAGGAACAAGGGAAATTTTTTTTAATTTTTGAGGGTAATGTCCTCGAACAGTTACGTTTTGTAATCTTTTGACGTATCATTAAAAGAAATCAGTTCGGTGAGAGCTGAGAAAAAGCGAAAACATAAATAAAAAACACATCATAGTAAAATTAATACCTTCTCAGCTTCGCATCGAAGCTAAAAAATTAAGTTGACAATTTTACAAATTATAAGGAATGAACAAAAAAAATACTTAATAATAGATAATTAAAAAGTTGGTATATCTAAACATTTTTTAACACAAATATTCCTGAAATATTTCATATTTTATAAATAATTAAGTGGGTTATGATAAACGAATAACTTAGTATATATAGAGTAATTCATTAAAGATATAATACTCATTTTTAAATTTTTATTTCACAATTACACATTGTTGAACAATTTGTTGCTATCTACTATAAAATAATTTGTGACCCATTAAAACAAATGATTGTTGTGCCTGGTATTACAAAATTAAGTTAGTAATGAATTTCTATTTTCCAAATCTTTAAATAATTATAAAAGCGAAAAAAAAATTATAAGAACAAAAAATGTTGGTGTTATTTTTTCTATCATATTACAAGGTACAAATAGCGCTTCTCAATTAGGAAAATTAATGTTAAAGTTTATTCGTGAATGGATAAAGAAAATTATTGTAGATTTTTTTGAATTAAAAAATATTTTTCTTCACAAAAATTTTAATTTTTTTTTGAAAAAATAAGTTTTTTTTCATTAATAAATCACTCTGTGTATACATAATTATTTACACGTGTATTTTAATACAACTATTAAAATATTTATATTAACTGTGATACAAAGCTGAAAAGTTATTAAATTTATTATAATAAAATTTTGTTTGTGTGTTTGTGGCCATTTTTTCTGAACTTTCACCGAATCTATTTTTTAAACAATATATCAAAAAATCAGAAATAATATCTAGCTGAGGCCTATTTCAAAAATTGAAAAATTTCCATCATTTCCATTAAATAAGGGAAATCTTCCAAATATTATAATTTTTTAAATTTGTAAAATTTAACTTTCTTTTTTTTTTGATAATTATTATAATTTTTTTTTTAAATGATTGAAACGAAACATTTTTTTTTATAATATCTGACATTTCATCTCCAACAAAGAGGATTAAAAATAACAACTTTGGCCCCGTTTTCTTCGTTCCCCGTAAATAGTGAAAATTCTCAAAAAAATTGCTATTTATAAATACGGTAAATTGAGATATTTTTTCAACTTTTTTGTATAAAACTATTATAAAATTTTCAACTCAATTTTGAAACATTCGATACTTAAAAAGTGATGGATTTTGAAAATGTTCAAGAAATACACCGAGCCTCAAACACATATTAAATTAAAGCTCGTACTACATACTTAATGTTAAAAAAAAATTGACCCAACACAATATATAATCTAATGTGCATATGGCTGCCGTAGTAAAAAATTAAACTATTATTGTGCTAAATTTTTTTATTTACTTTTTTATTATTCGACATCGTTATACCTTGTAAAAAAATTATGGATTTATACAATTTTTTTTAGTACTATATACATATCTACAATATCCGCCATATTTTTTTAAAATTAAAACACTGTACAAATGAGAGGTTAGAGTTATGGTGTCACTTATATTCATAGATGTTATATTATTATATATAATTAACATTGAATATAAAATTAAACTTATATTGTATTTTGAATCAAATATTTAATCATCCCTATTAACAAATTATTTAAAATATTTATCTGATTATTATATTTATTTTTTTATAACATTCTTTTGTTTTTATTTTAAATTAATAATCGTATTTTAACATTTTATTACAAAGATAAATAAGCGTATTTATATTAATGGTAATTGAAAATGGTAAAAATAGTAAATTATAATGACATGTTTTATTTAAAAATTTATGAAATTTTTAAGTTTTTATAATTCAAGTTATGTAGTTACATATTTTAAACTAATATAAATTATCTACAAAGTAATATATTAGTGGAAATTTTACGAAGAGGTTTATAAAATAAATTAACTTTTGTGTTTTATTACAAGTAAAATTTAATCTATACAGACACAGGTTGATTTGCATATTTAAATATCTTCTAGAAATACAAACTCTAGTAGTGTATTTAAAAGTTAATTACGAATATTATGAAAAATCCGGATTAATTCTAAGTATTTAATTAATATTTTAACGTTCTTTTCGGGGAAATAATTTTGACTTAAATGTTTGGATCGTAAAAGTTAAAGTATTTAAAAAAAGAACAATTTAAGGAATTATTTGATATTCAAAAAAATTTTTAAAAACATTAAGATTTCCTTTTGAAGGTCATTTACTTATCAAAACCAAATGGTTCATAAAAATATTACATATTTAAATATTTTAATAATTAGAATAATTAAATAACATGGTTAAACATGATTACGTAATTATTAATAAATGTATTTAATTAAAACATTTTATCTTACTTTAACTCCTTATAATGAAGTTTCTAATATTGAATATTTCAATTAATAATTAAAACCTTAAATATTGATAAGAACAATCAATTTTTCCAAATAAATTAGATACATTGTTACTAAAACATTGTGTGTCAATAGCAAGTATATTATTAAAAAAATTATAAACCATAAGAAATTTTAAAAACAAAACTTTGTTACAATGTACTGGGAAAAACATCATTGGTTCATTTACAAATAAAATAAACTGTTCACAAAAATTTAATTTTAAACAAATTTATTTTCTAAGATTTTAGTTATGGAAATTTATTAAAAAAAAATGTCACCTTAAAAAATGCCTGTTAAAATTTATGAACTGATACAATTATTTTATTTCTAATCATATTTTTTCTCTAAGATTTTAATTTTTGCAACGGTAAATTTAATTTTCTAATACTCATCAGAAATTACCTCATTGAAATTTATTTAAAATCATAGGAGCTAATATGGGAAGCTTAGCCCTCCCTCCTGGTGATAAATTACCCCCCCTAAAATTATTCTAGGTTTTCTACTGTCCAGTAGATTAAACCTATTTACTTTTTTTTACTGCTCTTGTTGTTTACACACAGCCAATGTTTATTAGTTAATAATGAGTATCGTGGACTGCAGTTTAATAAAGTATAAAGCAGTTTTTGGGGTACTGTATATTATGTAAACATTTTTGATATCAAGAGTAGCGATATAAATTTTTTTTTAAAAAGCCTCCCAAACCTCGATCATTATTTGGCTTATGTCAATAGTGTTATTTAATATTGAAATAGTTGGAGTTTTTCTTGTCAGTAATTCATAAGCTCATTTTAGTATCTATCGCACAAATGAATTTTTTAATTATTGAAATAAGTAAAACTCAGGAAAAATTGATAAAATTATTTTACCACTTTTGGCTTGTCCATAAAATATACAAAACATTATGAACTCAAGGGTAACAACTTTTCATTTATTCAAATTAATTTTAAAAATTTCATTATTATGATTATGTAATAATATTTATTAACATAGTATTAAAATATACGTATACGTAAAATATAAAATAATTGCGTAATAGGTTTTTTAGAAAATTTAAATATGTTTGAGTAAAAATTATTTAAGACAAAACTAATTATTTGTCATTTAAGATTTTAACAATATAAATAGCTAACTAAATAAATAAATGAAAAAAGCAACTAAAATTGAATGTCTATTTCATCAAAAACTATTCATGGAAGAATTTAAAAAATTAGAAATTTAACTAAATCTTTTAGAAGATATTAAAAGCTTCTTACTCGAGCTTTCATATTTAATGATAAACAATTTGTATATTGATTTGTGTATATTACTGTTCTCTGTGATATAATTGCTTAGATGCCTGTTTTTGCCGCCAAGGCACGTCATGCCTAAAGTGAAGTGATCGATTATAAATATAGAATTTTTATCTACTCCCAATGAAAATGTATTTTGATATAATATAATTAATAAAAAAATATGTTCATGTTATTATTTTAATTTCAGTTGTGAATTCTATGTCCAATAACGAATCGTTCTATTCAAAGAAAAGTATAATAGTTCAGGACAATATATCAGTAAAATTATATTGCTTGTAGATATTAGGAGCTGCTGACAATTGGATTAATTCCTATAGTTATTAAAAATTTTAATTTGTACAATAAATTAATATTTTGAAAACCCACTTTTATATTTATTAAGTTTGTAACTTAATAATGTTTCTAGAAATGTTTTAATTGTAGGTAACATTTGACCTGCTTCCTTACTTACTTAATACCATGTACACTAATACTGTAATATACTCATTACTATCATAATTTAGGTTAATAGTGGGCTACCCTATTTGCGTTCATACTAATGGCCTTTTATTTAATCTTTTCGATTAAAATAAACACTTCCAATTATACATTATATTCATATTCTTAGAAAAACATTATTTTTTTCAACTAAAAAATTAAAATGAATAATTTAGAAAAATATTTAAGAAACACATACTGTCTAATTATAATATATTACACATGTATTACACATAAATTAATAATTATTTCTATTTAATTATTTTTATAATCACTATTTACTGAGAAGATATATGAAGGGTTGAGCGCAACAGTGGCCTAACCCTCAAAATGTTAAAAATTGAGTTGATGAAATAATTTTGTTTAGAATAGAAAATATTTTAATGCAACAACGGTCTATTTTAGTTTTTTTAATTTTACACTAGATAGCAACACTATTTATGTTGTTGCATTAATAAATTGTATATGCTTGTAATAATTTTAAAAGATGTATCACACACATTAACTGTTTGATGGCATAGGCCACTGTTGCGCTCAACTTCTCATATATAAGTTATATTTTTCATTCTTTTCACTTTAATTTCAATAATTAAACGCAATGTGTTTATCTTAATCTTAAATATAAAAAGTATATCAACGTTATTTAAAATGTCAAAACGATTTGTATACTATTCATCTATAATAATTTATTTACTTTATGTTTACTTACCAATAAACAACTATTATAGTTGAAAAAATAGTGTTAATATACTTTGTAAAATTATGAGTTACGATTTATTAACGTAAGTCGCAGGCATTTGTTAGTTTTGTCAGTATTATAATTGATGAATTAATATAGTGTATCTGTAATAAAATTCCAGTATAATGTACTCATTGAAAGGGCTTTAACCTTCTTTGGATATTCTGCTGAATCTTATTATAGTGAATAAACAAAAATGAGATTCATAATCTTAGAAATAATTTTTTCTCGTCTGAACGATTCTTCCTATAATTGATACTGTGCGTGACTGTTAAAAGTGTGCAAGTTATATTATTATTTATGAAACTTACTTATTTTAGACAAGAAACCTTTTGGAAATAATAACGTCTTTTAATCACGAGAACTTTTCTACAAGAACATTATAGAATACACCATACTGTTAGTTGGCATGTGTGTAATAAAGCTCTCATCCCATAAATATCACAGAAAATGGCATTGCATTAGAAAGTTTAGATACTTTTCATTTTTCTTACAATTAAACGTCAACAACAAATGTGATATAAAATGCAATTTTGTATTGTGTGGTACATTTTGCTTTATTTCCGTCTCTAAACATCAACAATGTAAATTAAGTTTCTTAAATATCTACAAAATAAGTATTGCCACTTTTTTGTTAAAAACAAAATAGATAGTTGAACAAAAATACATGCTCGAAATAATAATTTAACAATAGCAAAATTATTCAACAATTCAAGCAAATTTTTAAATAAAATTTATCTTAATTTGTGTATTAAAAAATTAAAATATTAAAATTCTCTTTTATTTGAGAAGATGTTATTGAGACATGTTTTTATTAAATGAGTTGCGTGCTGTAAGAGTAATATATTTTAAAACATTTAATGTTAAACATGTTTCACATCAAATACAGGTTAGTGTTAGTGAATTTTTTTCATAAAAATTGATACGTTGTAAATTGATTCAATTACATATCACCACTCAAACAATAATAATTTTCATAGAAAAATTTGAATAACACTTATCTGTATTTAATGAGAAAAATGTTTTACATCTGTTCTTTGCTTTATACAATTTTTAATATTTGATACAGTATAAAAGAATCATAAAAGTTAAAATGTTTCTTATTTTTAATATTTTACAGAAAAAATAACTACTGAAGATTAGTATGATATATTAGCTTCAATGCAAAGCTGAGAAGGTGTTAGTTTTGTTATGATGTGTTTTATTTTTATATCTGTTACCACTTTTTCTCAGCTATCACCGAAATTTTATCATCTTAGATTTGGTCACAATCTTTTACCAGCTTTTTCTTTTTTTTTATCTCTTAATTCTTCTCCTTATTGTATTTTTTACAACGAAGAACATTTAGGCAACTTTTCTCATTATCTATTAAATCGTTCTTTACTATCTAAAAATAGAATTTTATTAGTCAGTATTTTAGTTCTTCATAAAATTCATAATCTCTTATCCGATATAATTTGAAAGTCTCAATATATTGTATTTATTAATTATACTATTTCTTTAATCCAGATGGAAATATTATTATTTTAATAAATTTAACGATCAACTAAATATTAATTATTAACATTTGGTATTTATAATAGTCGAGGTGTAATATTTGTAAAATTAAAAACTTAATTAATAAATAAAAATGTTGCTTTTTCTTAACTATAAAGTATGAGTAATGTTAATTATTAATAATAACGTTAATCCATGTAAATGTATGTTCGATAATCTTAAAGGAGGAAAAAAGTTTAAGAAGTGGTTGTTCACTGACCCGTACTTTTATACTGCAGGTTTTTGGTGAGGGTATGTCTCATTATGAAATTTTCGCTAAAATAAAAGTTGAAGGTTTGTTAAAGTCAAATAAGATAGGTTTTTAAGTCTTTTTTTTTTCACTTTTAAATTCGATGCAAAGCTGAGAAGGTATTAGTTTTACTATAATGTGTTTTTTTTTTTTTTTTATGACTGTTACCACTTTTTCTCAGCTCTCACTGAATCGATTTATTTCAACGATATGTCAAAAGATCACAAATCATATTTAGTCGAAGACATTACCCTAAAAAATTGTCATAACTTTTTTAAAAATGACAAAATCTATATAATTTATTTTTATAGATGCATGATGTCTTTACCTATCATTTGGTATATTTTTTACCTGACCCGTTACTTGCCCACAGGGAGGCATTCAAAATGACAACTTTTTCACAAAAAATTAACTTTTTCAACTTAACTTTTGAAATTGTTCCAGAAATACTGACATTTTTATATATACCATAAATTAAAGCCATGTAATATAAAAAAAAAACTTTCGGACTTTATTTTGTCTTCATGATGAAAACAGACATTAAAGTTAATAAAAAAAATACGATTTTTGTAAAAAAAATTCTTTTTTATATTTTTAACTTTATAATGCTATAACTTTTTGAAAAATGTATAGATCATTATATTTTTTTAATATAAGTACTATTTATGTTTTATTAATATATATATTTATTTATTCATATAACACGGCCGCCGGGGATTGACGGCCGGTTATAGAAAGTGTACCGGAAATCATGTGAAAAAAAGAGGCACGGTATGGGATTAGAACCCGTGACCCAAGGCGTCGTATAGACAAACCTTACCACTAGGCCATCGTGCACTTGTGATTCAGATCCCGATACACTTTCATTTAGGTTGATAACGTGATGTGCGGCTGACAGAAACACGGTACCGTGTCACATATATTACACTTATAAATCATAAAACTTGTAATCAGAATATAAATTATGAAATTGGGGATTATGTAGCTTTTGGAATAATTTACCAATTTTTTAAAATTAAACACTATCTACAGATATGCATCGAAGTTTTTATGATAGTGATTTTATTCACTATCAGATATCATTATACTTGACCCAACTATGCCACGTCCCCACTGTGCTGAGTATTTTTAACAAATTTTTTCCTAAAATCTACTTTAAAAATGACAATCCTGTTTTTTTTTACATTTTTCGCAAATTTAATTTTAAAATTTAAATAAATCGTACCCAAGTTATAGTAATATAAATTATACATTCCTAGTGTATACAGTTTATCTTTTAAAAATAGACTATAGAAAATATTTTAAACAGGCGGAGTGGTAAATGGAATGCCGCTAACCCCGGCACCTATACTCTCAAGATAAAGAAATAGATCTTCCATCACATTCTTGCTTATTGTCACTGATCTCTTTATTTAGAGGACATTGAACGACTGGGAGGCATTTCAAAGTAAAATAAAAACAGAAAATAAGGTCAGTACACAATCAGTAGCCTTGGTATTGTTAAAAAACTCCAAAGAAAGGCATGTAAAGGCACATAAAATATGAGTAAAGAAAGATTTATATAATTTTAAGAAACAAGCATCTCTTTTTCCATCCATAACGCTACCTTTCCAGGCCTCTGAAAATGTTAAATCCATTAGAGAAATTAAAAAAGAAAAGTAGCAGGGAAAGATGGTATATACCCAGAGTTCCTTCATCACTTGGGGCTCAAAGCTACAAGATGGGTAACCGGTATATTGTTGCAAATTTTCTGTTATGGAGAATAGTCTAATATATAGAAGAATCATTTTTAGTGGCAATTATCAAGTCAGGCAAACTCCCTGAGTGCCTAAAAAGTTAAAGGTCTATATCTCTACTAAACGTAATATCAAAATTCATGAAAAGTTATTCTAAAACGATTATCATCTATTATTTAAAAGGCTATACTCAGCTATTAGGGAGGCTTTGGGCGCTTAAGAGATTACTGTAAAAAAGTTTCAGTCTTAACATCACACATAGAAAAATTTTTTAACGATCGCCAAATAGCAGGAGCTGGCAATGAAATATTTTACTTATGATAACATAAAACAATCGCTGTGTACTAAATTAAAAAAATTTTATTGTGTTGTTAAAAGGTTCTTCCGAACATATTTAATAAATAATTATGTTCTCTAACAAGGTCAAAATATGTAATTTTATAAATATTGCAAACATTGTCGACTAGAAATTATTTTTAAAAAAATTTTACCTTTCTTCATCATAATTTTCAAAAAAATAAATTCGGATTTTATAATAAAATAATTAAAAGTAATATGGTTGATATAAGACATGTTTAAAGTAAAATAAATGTTTTTTTGACGAAATATTTTAATTATTCTATCCATTTAGTTATTACATATAGTATTAGTATTTTAGTATTACTTACACATTTTTACTGAAATTCTTATTGAGTATAATAAAATTTTAACTGAAGTGTTAGATATTATTACGTTTAATTATCTGTTGTAATAATTTTTCAAAGCCAATTTATAATGCAATTTAAACAATTAGGTTATTTTTAATTACTTTATAATAAAATTATTTTAGAGCTAGTCCTAATTGTAGTATATTATATTTGAAAATCAATTTTATTATAATAACTTGAACTCTTTTTGGTAATTATGAGACAACACATTTAACTGAAAATAGCTTGGGAAATTTATTTTACATAAATGAATAATAAGAACTATTTATTTGACACATTTTCGAGTTATGTTGGAGTCATTTAAAATAAATCCGAGTCAAATTAAAAGAAAAAAAAATTATTTAATTAAATAATTAGATAATTGGATTTTTCTGAATTTCCTAAGCATTAAAATATTTAACTATCGTAAATTAATTATTCAATTCTTAATTATTCTTTTGAAAAATAATACATACATCAAATTAACATACTGTATGATAAATATTCCAATTATTATTATAATATTAACTTTCAAATATTCGATAGTATATGTTAAAGAAATCTATTTTTTAATAAGTTATATTTAGATATTAGTAAAACTATTAATCTAACAATAAGTTAATTATTATGTATAATGAAGCTATTTAAAAGATAAAAAAAATATTAAATGTATGCACTAAATAAGTTATTAATAACATAAAAAAATTTTCAAGTTTCATTTTATCGACTTTAACTTTTCAATGTATTAAATTTGCTATGATATTTTTTTATTAGTCTGTTTACATAAATTCCAATGAAACAACAAATAAATTTGTATGCTTAAAATTTAATAGAATATCTTATGTTTATTACTTACATGTAATCTTTGATATTTCCTTTATACACTATATATCTAAATATACAATAAACCCTTTACAATATAGTATATTTTGATGTCATCTTTAGCAATTTTAATGTTTGATATTATGCCATTTAGTCGTTTAAGCGTTTACAAATTAAATACAATTGTGAAATAAATAATAAAATATTTTTTAAAATATCTTAAATTTTAAATGTTGTTCAGTATAAGTTTCTGGAACTTGTCAGATTTATTGCAGAAAGAGTTCATTACACTAGCTGTAACTATAAAACTGATTTGAAAATCTGAATAATTCATTAAAATTTATTTATCTGTTATTATTTTAAATTTTTAATATTTAAATGATTATCTATTTTTTCAAGATAAATTAAGACTATTTATTAGAGTGTTATTACACAGATGAAACACTAATTTTTTGTGTATGAATAATTGGCAATTAATTTGATTTGAGGAATTTTCACACGTTTTTTTTGAGTAAAAAATGATTTTGTTAAAATTTATGTATTTTTAGTTCATTTGTGTAAAAACATCTCGGTTATTTATTCCGTATTTTTCTTCTCAGAAAACAAATAATTAAAATGGTATTAATTTTATTTATGGACAAATAAAATAATAAATCATATTATAGATGAACAAAAAAAGTGCGTGTTAAGAACCGAAATTCTTTAGTATTTGGTAAATTGTTCACGTAAAATGAAACTTTTGTATAAATGGCAAGTAGTACAAAATAATAAATGATCATAGGTGCTGTCAGTCTTGAAAAATCTATTTAAAATTTAATTTCTATGTTGACCATGAAAGTGATAGTTTATATTTTTCAAAACAATTACAAAATTACTCATATGTAACTGTTAGTCCTAATTATAATTAGCCCTAACATATATGTTTAATAGTTATTAAAATTATTAAGCATACATAATTTGTCTAGGTAATGAGCTAAAAAATAAAATCATCACAACACATTGATTATAATTAAGTTGTTTAGTTGCAAAAATATTTATATCTCAAAAACCAAAATTTTTTTGCAGATATACATCCTTTTGTAACTGAACGACTCAATTCATTTTTGTTTTTTTATTTTAGCAAAAATTAATCACTTTTAAAACATACTACAGTACTATTTTATACAAATAAATCCTACAAATGATTTTCGATAGCCCTTGTGTAATTTCTTATTGGTATCGTAAGTTATATACTCACATTAGTAAGGTCCTATAGTATAGAATCTGACGGACGTATAATTAACTAAAAATGTGAACATTGAATAAAATCAGTTTTTGTATTTTATACTATAGTCTAAGATTAGGTTCTTGACGAGAACACTTAATTTTTAAAAATCAAGTTTGTAAAACTAGATATTTTGAAATTATAGTACGTAAATTCATAAAAATTTATGTATTGGATATTTTAACCATTTTAAAGTTGCCAATACATCAAAATATTAACTAATTTATCGTTTGAAAAATTTAATTGGAATACTAAATAAATATTAAAATTATATGGTGTTCATTGTAATTGTTTCAAATCAAGTAAAAATGATCAAGGTCTTAATTTAAAATCGAATAATTAAGCATTACTAGAATTTAAGTAGGTGACCTCCAATAAAAAATAATTTAAAAAGAATTAAATTAAAAGATTATAATTTGGTTTTAATAACTTTCCACAATAATCAAAGAATTGTGTTACGAAAAATCCAATAACTTTTGATGTCCTATTCAGGAACGGTTACAGAAAAATTTTCCAAGAGGTGTAAAAATTAAAAGTATAAGACATCGGAGCAATTCCCTATACTCTATGAATTAATAAAGCGTGATTTTGTCCACTCCCAAAATTCATATGATAACCTAATTTTTACTGAAAATGACATTTTAGAATTGTTGTGAATAAAAAAAAATCCAACATAATAGGGATATGGTTGAATTGGAACTAGTATAGATGATATCTGACATAGACTAACATCATAATCATAAAAAATTTACGGTAGCGTATTTTTGAATTATTCATTTCAATTTTTTGAATTCAAGGAATTTTTCAAATTTTTGGTACTAAAAGGTTCAATTAGATTGAAATGGAGACATTTGAACAGCGACATTGGTCCAGTGAGAGCGAAGTATTTTCATAGACAGACACGTGGTAAAACCAAAACCTTCTCAGTTTCGTAACAGTGTAAAAAGGTTAATATACATTTTTATTTTTTTGTAAAAATGATCTCAAATATACACCTTGTACATTTGTTAAAAGGGTAAATAGTTGTCATAACTAATTATAAAGAAAAAAAAATGTTTAGTATAATCCATAAAGTTTATAGTACATAAATAGCGTCAGAATTAATATTGATAATGGAAATAATACAAGTTAGTAAAATAAATTATACCAATAATTACACAATTATTCTATTTTTATAGAAATCAATAGTTACAAATAAAAAAAAACTTACTATAAATTATGAGAGAATCTTTTAGATTGCGTCATTTTATGACTTAATATTTATTTTAATCGACAATCAAATTTAATAGACTTAAATATTTATAATGTATATTAGATTTTTTTGCAAACTTTAATTTTCATGGAGCCCTTTGGTATTGTGTTATGGTTTAAAATATTTTAACATTCACAAGTGGTCAAATATTGACTAATATTTATGAAAAAATCATGAAATATAATAACTATTAATGTAAATTTTATCATTATTGTATTCATGGATGTCAGAAAAATATTTTGTGAGGAGTCCTAGGCAACTCTCCTAAACCAAGAATTTAATGATAGAATTGTACTAAGTACTACACGAGTGACACAACCAAAAATTTTATTAGGGAGATTATAATTTCAAATAATTTTGTGGACATATTTTTGCAATAATTAATATTTTTATTTCAAAGGGACGAGTAAATAATAAAAATATCACTCTTCAAATAAAAATTTTCAAAACCACACTGGAAATTTTTTTTAGTAGTATTTCAATTTATAAAATAAATAAATTTATGAAGAGTTTTTTTTATAGATTAAAAATAATATTATTTGTGACAGGGAGCACAAATAAAGTCGATCAATTACAATTATTTAAGACTCATGTACTACATTTGTTCATCTGTATAAAAAATAGCTTAAAAAATTTATTTATAAATACAACAAATGGTGATAAATCAAATAATAATGCAGTACTATATTTTATTACCCAAATCGAGAATATAAATTGCTAAGAAAAATAGATGCATGAATATTTCAAACGTCACATTTTATAAAAGAATTTATTTCAAATATTTATAAAGTCTATACTTTGTGATTATAGTTTTTGTTGAGTTTAACAAAAATGTTAATAATTAAAAGTATAATAATTAGCGTATGTGTTGTAATTGGTTTTTCAACTGAAAATACTTCATCTGTAATGCATGATCAGGTTTTTCTAAAACTATAAATTTATGATTTTATTTGTGACTCACAATCAAATGTTAAAACACTAAGACATTTAAATAAAATTGATGAAATAATTGTTATGTATTAGTTTTTTTATAAGATCGTTTTTCAATTTAAGTATATTTTATGATCCTTAGGAGTTCATTCCTAGTTAATCTACCTTACATATTTATTATGGCTAAATAAAAAAAATCCTAATTTTGTCTCTTTTAATTTCAATCTTTAACTATAAATTATTACAGATAATTCATAATAGATTTCTTTATCATTAAATATAGAGTGTTCAGTAAGTAAAGAAACGGGTTTCTATTGTTCTCATTCTTTGTAACAATTTACCTGTTTTCTTACTTACTCAACACTCAGTATAGAGCAGATGAAAAATAACAGGTTTAAAAACATAGGACTTTTGACATTTCTATAAAAATTTTAGTTATAAAATAAAAAATAAAAATAATAAATGGACATTGACATGGACATACAACTTCATTAAATCCACCAAATTTTATCACATAAAACATTAACCATATTTTTAGTAATTATCGGCTAATGACCATCAAAGTTGTTTTCAAAATAAAATAAAAACGCAGTAATATCACGTAGAAAAAAAATGTTTAAATTTAAAACTTGTTAATATTGTACATATTGAATATATTGAATAATACAATAATAATTTATATTCATACAGATTAATAATCCAAATCCAAAAGATTGGAGCAAAATTACTACAACTTTCAATAAAGGTATAATACTGCAACAATATTAATATAAAACAAAAATATTAATTACACGATGACGTAGTATATTTAGCAAATTTAAAAATAGGAAAGTTGTGATGTAAAGTAGAGTCAAATTAAATTAAATTTGAATATAATCTCATTACTTTTTAATATTTAATTTATGATTTAAATATAAAAAAATTATTATAGGTAAGTTTAATAAATTTTAACATGTATACGATTTTCCTTATTATTATTATTTATTAAATAAATATATTTATTTAAAAAAAAAAAAAATTAGTAGTGGGTTTAATCCTAAAAAAATTATTATCGAAATATAACATAAAAATAGTAACTTGATTTACTGAAATAAATTATAATTAATCTTCGATATTAAAGTCTTTTTACTAAAAATAATTTTTTTTAGACGGAATAGCAGTAATTAATTTAGATGGAGCTTTACATATTGCACGCAAATTTTCTACAAATATTTCTATTGAAGATATTAAAATGATTTTCAGTTGCTATAATTTGAAATTAGACGAATTTATTAATGCAGATCAATTACAACGTGGTTTGAGAAAACATTTAAAAAAATATATTAAAACTAGAAGTATAGTCCAATTTATGAAACAAGTTTGGATTAAAACAACATCTCAGGTTAGTTTGAAATTTAAAAATATAATTATACATTTCTGAATTTCTTAACAAATGGTATAAATGAGTTATAATATGTTTTAGGGAGAAGTAAGAGAATTTATTAGAAACAACCATATGCGACATGCCTTTAAAATAAAAAATGACAGATCCACAAAATTCGAGGTAAATAAAACATATATAATTGTTGACAAATAAATTTTAAAGTCATCAATTTTAATATTTATTGAACATGAACTGTATTTTAGTTTGATCCAGAAAGTCCAGAGTATGTAAATGGAATACGAGTTGAAATAACTAATGGTAAATAAAGGGATAGCAAAACATTTACACAAAACATATCTTATTGACAAATATTTTTCGAACAATATATATTCCCTTTTTTAAGTAATACCTAATGTTAACCAATTACTAACTTAAATTTAAAAAAAAGATAAAAAACTGTTTTTTTTTTCAATTATTACCAAGCAATAAATTAAATGTTCATTTTTTAAGAAAAAGATAGGCTTGAAAAACTAATTATGAACATTATAAAAGTTCAAAGCTTATAAATTTATAAGCTTTAACTACTTAAATAGTTCATATCGCTATTCACAAAGAATAATGTAATAATTCAAAAATATAACTTTGAGATTATGAGGTCGCTGGATTTACGTCCTACTTTTAGCTTCGATGCGAAGCTGAGAAGGTATTGGTTTTACTATAATGTGTTTTTTTTCTTTGTATCTGTTAGCACTTTTTCTCAGCTCTCACCGAACGGATTTCTTTCAATGATACGTCAAAAGATCACAAATCGTATCTAGTCGAAGACATTACCTTCAAAAATTGAAAAAATTTCACTCGTTCCCCGTTAATGGGGGAAACCTCCAAAAAAATTAAAAATTTAAAAATTGCTAATTTTCGAAATTTTTTCAATTTTTTTTACTAAAAACTGCCGTAACATTTTCAAAAATGAACATATCAATATAATTTTTTTTTTTATAGATGCTTGATGTCCTTACCTATCATTTGGTATATTTTTATTTATAAATTTAACCCTTTATTTTCCCACTGGGGGGGATTTAAAATGACAACTTTTTTACAAAAATTTTACTTTTACTCTTAACTTTTGAAAGTGTTCTGGAAAGTCTGACACTTTTATATATATCTTAAATTAAAGCTAATGTAATATACTTTATTATGAAAAAAAAAAAAATTTGGGACTTTATATTGTCTTCATGGTGAAAATGACTACCAAATGCTATTTTTGTGAGAAAATTCTCGATTTTAATTTTTACATTTTTAACTTTATAATTCTATAACTTATTGAAAAGTGTATGGATCAACACAATTTTTTTATGAGAAATAATATTATTTAATCATCCCTTTTTCATTTGACATACTTTATCTTAATCAGGATATAAATAAGGAAATAGCAGATCATGTAGCTTTTGGAATAATCTATAATATATCATTATGAGTCAGATATTTGTCAGATATCATTATACTTAATCCAACTATGCCACGTCATCACTGTGCCGTGACCCCCCTGTGCTGGGTTTTTTATAATAATTTTCAGCAAAATATCAAAACTTTGATTTACATAAAGGAGCCACAGCGTCCCTGAATACATTTTATTAGTTTTAATTTAATATAGATTTACAGAACTTAAGTTTTTGGGAAAATTATCAAAAATTGAAATGAAAAAAAAATTTAGATGTGATTTTTAAGCCCACAAAGTACCTTAGTTAATGATTATATTTTTTTAAAAAATATGTTCTAAAAAGTATACTTGTCATAAATATTACCAATGAAAATTTTATTTTTATCATAATTTAAATAGTTGGACCGATACATTATTTGCACCAAAATTTACATGATTATCGACATAAGAAGTCAGTTACTCAAAAAAGACCGCATAGTATCTTAGATAATAATCGTATTAAAACCAAAAATCATGTCGTCACCAAAGTAAATGTTTGAAATATTATAAATAAAAAATTCATATAAATCCGTTTAGTTTTTAAAAGTTTATTTCAATATGAATTAAAAATTATGACACACATAGCCTCAACTACATACACTTTGTGATCTTTTAATGTATCGTCGAGTAAAATCAGTCCCGTAAAAACGAAGTAATGAAGTATACGGACCCTCCTAAAAAATTGAGGCAAAGTAAAACTAACAGTTTCTTAGCTATGCATCGAAACTAATTAATCATAATTCACATAAGACAAATTAAATGGATTTGGTTAATCTCTAAAAATATCTTTGACACTTTAATTTTAATATTATTTTTAGGAATCAATCCATCTGCTAAATCAGTTTCACAAAATAAAAAAGCCAAAACTGCAAACATGCTAAATTTTCAGTTTCTTAAAGCATTTAAAACAATGAATTACGATTTTATACACCATTAAAAAAATTAATATATGATCTTAAATTGCACATGAAAATTTATGAAAAACAATTAGAAATATATTTAAACATTTAGATCTTACATAATTGGTTACATAAAATTATAACAAAACTATTGTTGGAAATATGTTTTAAAAATTCCTTAATGAGAAAATTTGATTGATGATCGATCATAACTTTGTGAAAAATGATTAATATTTTTGAACAAATATTGGCAGAAAACAAGGGATTTAAATTGTTTTTTTTTTTTAATTTTTAGATAATACACCTGTGGTCAATTTTCAAAGCGCTATATGGCTAGCCCGTAAATTTGATACCACTGTTAATGAAGAGTCAATGACTAAAATGTTCCAATATTTAGAAGTAGCGATAAATGAAAAATTAAATATGTTTCAATTTCATTTCGGATTGGCTTACTTAAACATTTGCTGTAAACATATTAAAGTAATATCAAAAATGATGAAAGAAGTTTGGGAAAAAACAACAAGTAATGTAAGTGTTATTCCGAATTGTGCATTAAAAAGAATTTTAAAAAGATAGTTACTAAAATAATATTTTCGTACGAGTACTATACAAATATGTTTTATATTTAAATTCATTAATAGCATCTCTATTAATTTTCAATTTTATATATTCATGTATTTACAGGAAATAAAAGAAAAGCTTACAGATGAAGATATAAAGAAAATATTTAAGTATAAAAACAAAATTTTAAATAACTAGAAAAACTCAAAAAAAATTCTAAAATTATTTTATTAATATATTTTTATTATAAGAAATTTAAAGTATTTTATAAATAAATTTTATTTTTAAATTCAAATAAGTATAATTAGAAAAAAATGAAAGTGGTAAAATGACGATCATTGTTTTAAATTTGAATAAAAGTAACAAAATAAATGCAAAAAAGCCTAGCTTTAACTTTGTTATTTAAGAAAAGCATATTGTATCTTTGAAAACTCATTATTGTTATAATTAAATGAAGAAAACACGCTTTACTAAAAAAATGACTTGGTGGACTGTGATTTAAAAAAAAAATTAATGAAATTACTGAGTCACATGATTCTGAACAAATTCTTGGCGAAGTTTAACAAATTTTTGCTATTCTCCGAGAGCGTTTTAATAATTTAACTTCTTTCAGGAAAAATATTTGCTAACAACGGCGTTTTCTGATTTATAGTTTGTAACATTATACCTTTATTTTTTACAGTTCTGCAAGATTTTTTTTAATTCATTAGTATGTTTTTAAGAAGGCGTCTATGTTTGCACATTATTATTTTGTTATTGTTTGAAAAAACATTCATAATTCATTACATTTTGTTTTAATGCATAATGACTTATGCTATAATTTCAATACAATTTACATTACTTTGTATTGATATTATAAGTAATTAATTAAATATTTATAACTGAAAAATAATTAACAAGTTTGATTAAATATTCTTTAAAAAATGATTTAGTTCTATTTATTAATTGTAACTGTCAATAGTTTAGCAAATTATATCATAAGTAAATAATCAACTTATTCATTTCTTAAAATACTCATAAAAATTCATAAAACGCGTATCTTACATTAAAAAAAATTTAAGGGTAAACGAATAATTTACACTCACTTTATTACATTTAAAAACTTCATGTTTAACACTAATGTAATTGGGGGATTTATGTATCATATACCCCCCAATAAAAAAAATTATATAGTGAAAATACAATTTCTGTTTCATTTGGAGAGAGAAATGAATAATTTTTTTTGTATATTCCTCTAAAACGAACTTCTCATTAACCCACTGATGAACAAAGAATTACACACTGCATAGGCATGTATATTAATAGTATTTTTAGCTTCGATGCGAAGCTGAGAAGGTATTAATTTTACCATGATGTGTTTATTTTTTTTTTTATTTTTTTTTGTGTCTGTCACTACTTTTTCTCAGCTCTCACTGGACCGATTTCTTTTAACAATACGTCAAAAGATCACAAATTGTATCTAGTTGAAGACATTACCCTTAAAAATTTAAAAATTTTCCCTCGTTCCCCGCAAATGGGGGAAATATCCAAAAAAATTACAAATTTAAAAATCGACAAATTTTGTCATTTTTTTCACTTTTTTTTCTTAAAACTTCCATAACTTTTTCAAAAATCAACAAATCAACATAATTTTTTTTTAAACTAAAACCTTAGATATTTTCCTTTCATTTGATATAATTTTTTTGAAAATTTAACACTTAACCTGCTCATGGGGGGGGATTTAAAATTGCAACTTTTTTACAAAAACTAACTTTTTCAACTTAATTTTTGAAAATGTTCCGGAAATACTGCGTCCTTTAAACATATATCAAATTAAAGCTTATTTTATGTACTATAAAATGAAAAAAAAAAATTTGTCCCGACACTTTATCTTCTGCATGTAAACGGTTGCCGTAGTTAAAAAAACACTATTTTTGTGTTAAAATTTTCGATTTTCAATTTTTAATTTTCAACTTAAAAATGCTATAACTTTTCGAAAAATGCATGTATCAGCACAATTTTTTTTTTTCTAAATACATTATAAGTACATCTTCCATTTGACATACTTTTTATTAAAATTAGACAATTTCCCCTTATATAGGGGGGGTTCAAACTTTGAAACATTGTATAAAAAATAGAACTTTTTCAACTGAACTTTTGAAAATGTTCCGGAAATACTGCGTCCTTTAAACATATATCAAATTAAAGCTTTTTTTATGTACTATAAAATGAAAAAAAAAAATTTGTCCCGACACCTTATCTTCTATGTGCAAATGGCTGTCGAAATTATAAAAAAAATGTAATATTTGCGATAAAAATCACCTTTTATAACGATGTTTTTTGTACTTAAAACTGCCATAACTTTTTCAAATATTAACTAATCAAAATAATATTTCTTTATATTGAAACCTTAGGTAATTTTCTTTCATTTGATATCATTTTTTTTTGAAAATCTAACACTTATTCTGCTCACAGGGGGGATTTAAAATAGCAACTTTTTTACAAAAACTAACTTTTTCAACTTAATTTTTGAAAATGTTCCGGAAATACTGCGTCCTTTAAACATATATCAAATTAAAGCTTATTTTATGTACTACTAAATGAAAAAAAAAAATTTGTCCCGACGACCTATCTTCTATGCGCAAAAGGCTACCGTATTTAAAAATATGCTATTTTTTATTAAAATTCTAGGTTTTGTATTTTATTTTATTTTAAAATATTTTATTAGGGGAATAAACTGACTTTCATGAATATTATATAATTTCATTGACATAGAATAAAGTTCATAAGACATATGATATTATACTTATTAACATTTTTTACTTTTTTAAAGTCGAAAAAGTAATTTTTAAATTTGAGTTAGCTTAAATAGCCAATTTTATCATGCAACAAAAATCAACGAATAGTTGCCGAATGGGTAACACCTTGATCTTTAACGCCTAGGGTACGAGGTTCAAATCCGTTTGTGGCTTCTAAAATTTTGCATTTTTTTTTTGAGTTAGAATAGAATTTTCAAATCATTTGATATTTATCTCATTTAGATTCAATAATTTCAATAAATATAAAGGATCTTATCACTATAGTCTCCCCTCGTGAGAAGAAATTGATATTCATGTTAATATTATTTTACTATGTGGTTCTTTTTCTGGCTACGATTTATTTTGCCAACCCTCACTAGACCTACTTTTTTCAACGATACGTCAAATGATTCATTTAAGTTTATGATATTTAAGTTAATGATTAGTTTAAGTTATTACTCTTAAAAATCAAAAAAATATTCCTTATTCAAATAAAAAGTAGCTTAACTAGATTTGTCCATACAAACAATTAAAATCATTAATTTTTAATATTCTTAAATTATTTATTGTCGAATTAAATTTGATATGATAAAAGTATTCAACTACAAAAGTAAATAATTTTACTTTATAATTTATTAATTTTTTAACTCTATTTCTGTGTGCTACTACCAGTCTATAATATGCCAAATTTTTTAGTAATATGTTGCTATATAAATCATAAATTTAAAAAAAAAATGATTTTTAGTTTCACCTGAAGTTAACGATGGAGTTTTACAATTATAATTATATTTTTGATAATATGCTCAATTGAGTAAATCTTTTTAACTACTTTGGTTTGATTGGTTCATTTAATTAAAGTAAATTATTAAAATTAATTAAGTTCTGAATATTTCAATTGCAGAATTTTTTTAAACACCAAAAGTTATTAGGATATGATTACTATTCTTTCTATTTCAGTTATCTATTACGATAAAAATGTAAAAAAATCGAATTTTTCTGACAAATGTACTGTAATTAGTAATTATAAAATTTCCAGATTGCATATTAATCTTAAAAATTTCATTTTTTTCAATTTAATAATGTCAATTTCAAACTTGCAAGTTGAACTATAAGTTATGGTAACAAATTCATTTTTTAGCTTCGATGCGAAGCTGAGAAGGTATTTTTCATTAAAACTTTCACTTTAAAAGACAATAAAAAATAGGTTCAAAATGATTACCTTTAACATATTAAAAATCAAAATCAGTATTAATTTAATACAATTTTTTTTGTTCTTAATTATTTTTTTTTATATGTAAATACTTATTTTTTAATAATAAGTAATAATATTAAAACTTAGAAGTAATAAAAAAAGTTTAATTGCACATTTGAAAACATCGCGAAAAGTTTATTTAGAAAAGTATATTTTTTTTTCTGATGAAAGTTCCTTTTGTTTAGTGTATTTATTCATAAATAACAAAATTTTTTTATTAAAAAGTATTGCATCAATTCCTTTAAATTTGTATACGCATTAAAAGTATATGAATATACAACTCCTTTTTATTTTTATAATATCTCCGTAAAAATTACAATATTATATTATTGAATACCACTTTCATACTCAATTTAATTACTGTAATTATTATGTATTCATATATTATAATTATAAATCGGGGTAAAATTAAGGGAATAAGTGTTATTGTTGTTTTTGAAATACTCTACCAATTTCATTTTTTTCTATTTAATGATATCTATTTCAAACTTGCAAGTTGAGTTAAAAGTTATGGTAATAAATTCATATTTTTTTTTTTTAAACTTTCACTTTAAAGGACAAAAAGAAGTTGGTTCAAAATGATTACTTTTAATATATTAAAAATCGATAATAATTTGAAAATAATTAATTATAAAAATTATATAATAGATAATTAAACGAATTACTAATCTGGATATAATTATGGAAATAGGAGTTGATGTTGGGTTGGGTTGGTTACATTTTTAACTTTATAATGCTACAACTCATTGAAAAATGTATGAATCAACACAATTTTTTTATGAGAAATAATATTTTTTAATAATCCCTTTTTCATTCGACATTCTTTATCTTAATCAGGGTATTAATAAGGAACTAGCAGATCATGCAGCTTTTGTAATTATCCACCAATTTCTTAGAATTAAACACTATCTACTGATTTGCATCGAAGCGTTTCTTATGATAGTGATTTTAATCACTGTCAGATTAAATCTATACTGGACCCAACTATGCAACGTCCCCACTATGCCGCGACTCCACTGTGCTGGGTTTTTTTTATTTAAATTTAATACTTCTAGTATTTCTTTATTTTTATTGTTTGAAATATAATGTAACACAATCCTATAGATATTTATGTCATATAATGATGATTTTAAATAAAAAAATTTGAAAGGGTTTTTTTTTTTTGCTTTTTTTGCCTATTAAAAACAAAACTGTTTTATTTCTATGATTTTATAACAAAATTCTTATTTTCTGTCTTAAAAACCAAATTGAACATTTGATTATTCAAGGCAGTAATAATGGTACTATATGTTAGGAAATAAATTTAGTTTTTAATTGACTTAATTAAGTTTTCCTTAAATATTTGTAATGTATTGTTTGCATTTTCATTTATAAGCATAGATATATTAAAATTTTTAAAAATAAACGATTTTTATTACAAAAGTACGTTTTTTTATTTAATGAGTTTTTATCAACGTTAATATTTTTGATGATACATTTGTGTATTATGTAAACTATATAGATTTATAGCATATTCACCTGTTTTCACTAAATAAAATAGAAAGTAGAAATTAAAAGAAAAACATTTTTAATTTAGTTTTTTTACTGAGTTTTTGATTAATAAATGTTTATAATGAAGGCAATCCGTGACAATCACTGCCTCTAGTTTAAAACGGGTGGCTTCATATGGCGAGCAAGAGTTAAGTTCGGTAATCGGAGTCGCCATTCTTCTATCTAGCGACGG